TATCAACAGAGGTGAACTCTAAAATCATTTGCACCGCTCCACCTATTATTGTCATTCTAAAATACTCTACTCTGCTGTAGTTAAAGCTTCAAATTTAATGAAATAAATGTGCCTTTTTGCTATAGAATTTGCATTTAAGTACTGCCTAATTTCTGTTAATGTTTAAATAAGTATATGTTTATAATAATAGTTCCAAGAAGAATTACCTATTATCTCATACAGGAATTTGGACTATTCATGATCATTATTGAGCAGGTTTAAAAAAAATATATTTAAGCATTGCTCACATGATCAGGTTAAACACATACTGCAAAAAACTTTTTAGTTTGGAATAAAGTGTTAATCATAATTTCATATGGAAAAATGCCACTAATAATCAATACAGTATTCCCCCCTTATCTGTGGGAGATAACATTTCAAGACCCCCAGTGGATGCCTGAAACTGAAGATAGCATTGAACTCTCTATATATTATGCTTTTCCTATACATATACACCTATAATAAAGTTTCATTTATAAATTGGGCAATTTCATGGATAGAGTATTTGTTCTTACTATACATTTTAGCAACCTCAGCATATGATTTTTTCTTTCCTTTCACCTTTCACTTAAAAGAAGTACTTTATAGCTTTTCCTTGGCATACCCAAATTGCCAGCATCACTACTCTAGAAGTACTTTATAGCTTTTTCTTGGCATACCCAAATTGCCAGCATCACTACTCTTCCACTTTGGGACCATTAAATAAAATAAGGGTTACATGAACACAAGCTCTGAAATACTGTAATAGTGAATCTGATAACTGAGAGGGCCACTAAGGGGCTGGTAGCCTACACCGCATGGAAATGCTGGACAAAGGGGTGATTCATGTACCAGGAGGGATGGAGCAGGACAGCATGGGATTTCGTCACGCTACTGAGGTGTGCAATTTAAAATTTTCAAATTATTTATTTTTGGATTTTTCATTTAATAATTTGGAAGGCAGTTTACCATGGGTAATTAAAACTGTAGAAAACAAATCTGTAGATAAGGGGGCACTACTGCATGTGTCTGTAGAGGTACCTTTTAAGTCACTACAATTCCTGTTCAATTCAAAACAAGAAATGTATATTGAGATTTACTATAGACAAGAAAGACATTGTTCTAGGAATTATAGAAACTGTAGAGACGGGAACACATTAGCTTTACTCATCATGTGTAGAATCTCAACAGATGATAAAACAAATATATAAACAACCAGAATATAAGCTAAAAAACTCAAATCTATAAAAATGGTGGCATCCAGATACCTGGTATCTTTAGTGGTCACTAAATGCTGACCAAAGTCCTAGTAATTAATTATTGATGATAGAGTCCATTCCACATCAAGGGAATTAGCATATAGACATTAGATGTATTCATCTAATAATGTATAGTCCAACTTGAGGGAATGTGAGGGCAGAAGTAATTAATATTATAAGCATTTTTTTAAAAAGTATAAAATAGAAAAAACAATCTTAAAATTTGTATGTAACCATAAAAGACCCTGAATAGCAAAGCAATCTTGAGAAGGAACAAAGCTAGATGTATCCTGCTCCCTCTTTTCAAACTATATGCAAAGCTATAGTAATCAAAATAATGTTATTGTCAAAACACAGACTCATAGATCAAAGCAACCAGAGAGTCCAGACCAGGGGTCCTCAAACTTTTTAAACAGGGGACCAGTTCACTGTCCCTCAGACTGTTGGAGGGCTGGACTATAGTTTAAAAAAAAACTATGAACAAATTCCTATGCACACTGCACATATCTTATTTTGAAGTAAAAAAACAAAATGGGAACAAATACAATATTTGTATTTGCATGTGACCTGCAGGCCATAGTTTGAGGACCCCTGGTCCAGACATAAACTCACATATTTACTAGAGGCCCAGTGCATGACATTCATGCACGGGGGGTGGGGGGTGTTTTTCAGCCCACCCTGCACCCTCTCGCAGTCTGGGACTCCTTGGGGGATGTCCACCTGCTGGCTTAGGCCCACTCCTTAGCGCTGCCTTGAAGGCGGGAGAGGCTCCCGCCACCACCACTGTGCTGGCCAGCCATGAGCCCAGCTTCTGGCCGAGCAGCGCTCCCCCTGTGCGAGTGCACTGACCACCAGAAGACAGTTCCTGTATTGAGCGTCTGCTCCCTGGTGGTCCATGTACGTCATAGTGACCGGTCATTCTGCCATTCAGTCGATTTGCATATTAGGGTTTTATTATATAGGATGACAAAGGAACCAAGAATATGCGACAGGGAAAGGACAATAAATGGTGCTGGGAAAACTGGACAGTCACATGCAAAAGAATGTAATTGGACCACTATCTTACACCATACACAGAAATCAAGTCAAAATGGATTAAAATTTGAATGTAAGACCCAAAACCATAAAACTCCTAAAAAAAACATAGGTAGTAAGCTCCTTGACATTTGTCTTGACAATTACTGTTTTGGATTTGCACCAAAATAAAAAATGAGCAAATAGGACTACGTCAAACTAAAAAGCTTCTGCACAGCAAAGGAAAACATCAACAATGAAAAGGCAACCTACTGAGTGGGAGAAATCACTAGCAAATCATAGACCTGTTAAGGGGTTAATATCCAAAATATATAAAGAACTTCTATAAAACAACAGTAAGAAAATAATTGATTTTTAGATGGAAAGAAGATCTGAATAGACATTTTTATCTAGTAGACATACATATGGCCAACCTGTACATGAAAAGATGCTCAAACTCACTAATCGTCAGAGAAATGCAAATTAAAACCACAATGAGATATCACCTCACACCTGTCAGAATGGCTGTCATCAATAAATCAAAATACAACAGGTATTGGCTAGGAGGTGGAGAAAAGGGAACTCTTGTGCACTGTTGAGGGGAATGCAGATTGGTGCAGCCACTGTAGAAAGCAGTACAGAGTTAGCTCAAGAAATTAAAAATGGAACTGTCTTATGACCCAGCTATTCCACTCCTGGGAATATATCTAAAGAAACCCAAAACATTAATTCAAAAGAATATATGTACCCTTATGTTCTTTGCCAGCAATATTTACAATAGTCAAGCTATGGGAGCAACTGCAGTATCCATCAACTGGATGAGTGGACAAAAATGTGGTGATATATCTATGAAATGGAATATTACTCAGCCATAAAAAATGATATTTTAGCATCTGCAACAACACGGATGGACCTAGAGAATATTATGTGAAATAAATCAGAGAAGGACAATTACCATATGGTTTCACTTATAGGTGGAATCTAAAGAACAATATAAATGAGCAAACAAAACAGGAACAGACTCATAGATACAGAGAACAGACTGATGGTTGCCAGAAGTGGAGTGGTTTGGGGGACTAAGTAAAAAAGTTCTCATTACAAGAAAAATACATTTTTACAACTATATATGTTGATGGATGTCAACTGGATATCTTATGAGATCATTTTGCAATATATACACATATCAAATCATTATATTGTACTAGAGGCCTGGTGCATGGATTTGTGCACCGGTGGGGTCCCTCAGCCTGGTCTGCACCCTCTCACAACCTGGGACCCCTTGGGGGAGGGGGGATATAGCAGTGCCAAAGCAGCAGGAGACCAGGGAGGAGCCCCAGCCGGGACCAGGCTCAGCTCCGCTGCTGCTCATCCCCACCCCGCTGCACCTGCCACTGCTACTGCTTGGTAGCGCTGCTGCGGCAATAGAAGAGGCTCCCGCTGCCACAGCTGCGCTCACCAGCCATGAGTCCCTTCTGGCTGAGTGGTGCTCCCACTGTGGGAGCACACTGACCACCAAGGGGCAGCTCCTGCATTGAGCATCTGCCTCCTGGTGGTCAGTGCACGTCATAGCAACTGGTCATTCCACTCGTTCAGTCATAAAGGTTGCTTAGGCTTTTATATATAGATATCTGAAACTAATACAACGTTATGTATTAGGGGTTGAGAAGTACAGATTGGTAGTTACTAAATAGTCATAGCGATATAAAGTATAGCATAAAGTACAGTCAATAATACTGTAATAACTATGTATGGTGCCAGGTGGGTATTAGAAATATCAGGGGGAACACTTTACAAAGTATATGATTGTCTAACCACTATGCTGTACACCTGGATATAATACAATATTCCATGTAAACTGTTAACTGAAAACAAAACAAAAAAATTCCACACAATCTATTCCTATTACTCCCTGATTTCTGTAGACTCCGGATCGCGTCTGGTCACTTACAGATCATAACTCTAACTGCTCTAAGACTGAGTTGTACAGTGAAACATGTTCCTAAAATCCTTCCCCTAAAAATCCTTATATTATCCTTGGCAAGAGTATTATTGAGGGAAGTCTTTGATGAAATGTTGAAATAAGCACACAGAACTTGGTATGTGTAAGCCTCTTTGCCAAGTATTCTCCAAAACATCTGAATAATAAATTGTAGCAATAATGCAGAGAAAGGATTTAGAGCTTTGTAAACCAGCAAGAGAAAAAGTAATACAAGATTGTCAAGTTTTCTCCTTTGTTCTCGAAAAGGAACAAGAAGACAGAGGTATTAAGTCAAATACAGTTGCCCCTTGAACAACATGGGTGTGAACTCTGTGGGTTCACTTATATGCTGATTGTTTTTCATTAAATACCTGCACTGTTTTTTTGTCTATGGTTGGGAGTCCGTCTATGTGGAGAGTCGACTCTATGCATTAATCTACACCCTATTATATATAGGACTTGAGCATATGTAGATTTTCTACCCACTCAGGGCCCTGGAACCAATCCCCTTGGGTCCCAAGGGACAACTTAAATTTGGGGATTTTCACAAGTTACACGTGGATTTTCAACTGTATGGGGTGGAGGGTGGGTCAGTGCCTCTGACTCCTGTGTTGTTCAAGGGTCAACTGTATTTATTTTTTATCGGAAAATGTATTCACCTTATTTGGCTTTTTTCTGATTTGAGCTACAACCAATATTTTTTTTAAACGGAGTGTGTTGTTTATTTGTAGGTGCAAGCCAGTTATGATGCTTCACGCTATGAAAATACTTTCTCCCTCTTTTGGGTTCTGGAGCAGCTTCTTCAAAAGGAAAACGAAGAAGGCAGTACTTTGAGTTTGGGGCATGATGATCAAGAAATCAAGAAGTTTCTCCAGAAGCATGATGACGCTGTTTTGCAACTCTCTGATACATTTCCTTTATTTACTTTTTATTTATGGAGGCTGGGCATTCTCTTGAACTCCACAGAAAAAAAAACTGTTGAAAATAACTCACTTCCTTAGCAATTTACCAAATATATGAAACATACAAAAGTTGAATATATGAAGATCTTGTACTTAAAAGATTTTCAAGAATATTTTTAAATGAGCATTTTAAATGGATCTCTAAATATAATGATTAACTAAATTTAAGAGTCTTAATATGTGACAAATTATTATGAGTCATATTGCTTTCCTATAATCCGTCAGTATCAGCTATTCCCATGTGACTATATTTTATAATGTTATTCAATATAGGCCTCTTATTCTCTAAAATGGGTCATTAATTGTGCATGTCATAAAAGATATTTACTTTTAAAATATTTCCATGTAATAGATACTAAAAGGCAATGGAAGAGATCTTAAAAGTTTTATTGCTTCATCAACCCACTATTTAAAATAAATGGTTATAAATTAGATTTTTAAAACTTTTTTCTTACACAGTTTCACTTATATCATTGTCTCTCTGAGAAGGGACTGCTGCAGGAGGGAAATCGAACATTTGTAAAGGTAATTGCCTTTAATTTCCTATAATCAACAGATCTGTCAAATCCTTTTGAAAGTACTAATTAGTGGCTTAAATGTTCAGTTTGTTTTTTCAAAAAATGTTAGTTTTGATTCTGTTAATTGGATATAATATTCCTGTTATTGTTAAAATGTAGTTTAAGTCATGTGTAATAAGACATTAAGGAAATTTTCACAAATTATACCATCCAGAAATATACTTTATACTTACTAAAAGTATGTTTATACTTATTAAAAGTATTGGTTGAATTTTCCAGTTACACCATTTTTTTTTTACTTTATTTCAATTATTAAAATCATACCCAACTAGTTTAGTGAGCACATAGTATGTACTTTCCTATACCACAACTTAGGGCACAATAAACCCAAATTTGCTCCATAAGTTAATTACCATTCCCAAATGTCACTGATATTTTTTTAAATGTATATAAAATAATTATCTGTCAATTATTTTTGGAATTATTTCTAACTTTATGGAAAAGAACAAGCCTTTTTTATAATACCGAGACTCACTGTATGTATCAGTCAGCGATTAGTATGTAGTAAACAACCACAAAATCTCAGTGACATAAAGCAGGAAGTAATTATTTCTCAGAGGTGTAGGCATCACGTGGGGGTCAGCTCATCCAAACTGGGCTCTGCTGGGAAGCTCTGCTCAGGTTGCAGATCCCACTGGCCTGGGCTCCTGATTGTAAACTGGGTTTTGGTCTCTTCTGGACCCCGAGTTGATGGCAATGAAGATACTTTAATGAATGTATAGCATTTTACCAGAGTAAGAACATCCTCACACATTAATGCTTTCAAAGTGCAAAGCTCGCTCTAAAGGTGCGGTGGCTGGACTGTCAGGCTCCCGTGCTCAGTCCAGTGGGAGAGGAAAAAAATGTGACCTTTTGTCCTTGGCTCTATAACTAGACATTGGTGACATTTTATGTAGGTCTTTCACAAACTGGTGCACATTCCACTCTTACTTGTTGGCATAAATAAGGGCAGAATATTCCTGGATGAGAGGCAAGGCAAAAAGCTATTTACATTTCCAGATTTTTATGTACATTTGTAGATGTTTTTAAAATATTGGTGGTTCTAACTTAATGACAGTCTGGTTTCATTTATTCATCAATTATTAAGCACCAGCTTTGTGTGCAAACCAATTATTTGCACATATAAAAATAAGCATATTGAGTTTTGTATTTTATCAGATTTGTAAAACAGCACTCTCTTTTAACAGTCAATATAATGACTCAACATCAATACTTTGTATTTGCTGAAGATGATTAGAGTGGTAACATTGACCTCCTATTGAAAAAAGATACAGTATTTTATTATTATGGAAAGTCAATTCATTCTTTTTAAATTATTTATAGAATTGGACAACACTAAGTTCATCTGGTCAGTGAACGGGCTACTCTGTTAAAAACTGTCAAAATCTTATGAGTATGACTTACTCTGGCTCTTTTTGTTTTGTTTTCATTTAATATGAAAGTCCTCTAAATAGTTTTAAGAATCCATCTATAATAATAATAGCATCATATGCTAATTAGACCGTACATCCTTCTGGATGACCTTCCGGACGAAGCCAGGGCTGTGAGGGAAGCCCGGGTCCCAGGTGCCTGCCAACCGCCGGAGGAAAGCCTGGATCCTGGGTGCCAGAGGAAGCCAGTGCCCGCAGCTGGGGGAAGGAAGATCTACTCTTGCATGAATTTTGTGCATTGGGCCTCTAGTTACTAATAAGAAAGAAAACTTGTAAATAGAAAATATGAGTCTAACACTCAAGACACTGAAATAATTCATAGATATATACTCTGAATTTATAAAATTTTCTTCTGATATTTTAATCTAATTTTGTTGTAGCTGCTTAACTGGTTGGTGAACTTATATTTTAGTTAATAGCTGTGTTTCATAGCCAATCCATTGGGGTATCAAGATTTGTAGATAAACATTAACCTCATTAAGTCTCTGATCTACATATAAAGCTGGTTTTCAAATGTGGTCCCCAGGCCCGCAGTATCAGCAACACTTGGGGACCCTTTAGAACTACAAATTCTGGGGCCCCACCTAGATGTGTTTCAGAATCAGAAATGCTGGGATGAAGCCCAGAAATCTGTTTTATCAAGTGGTTTGAGAATCACTGTTCTAATCATTGTTTAAACTGAATAAGAGGACTTAATACATATAAAGTCATTCGGAAAGTAGAAATTCAATCATCCCAAATTACTTAACTAAATTACTTAATTTTCCCTGTGTGTGCCTTAAAATTCCAAAGGAGGATTTGGGGGAACTTAATTATTCATGATTAAGTTAAAATGAGTATTTAATTTACAAATATATCTGTCAATCATAATAACACTTAAAAATCAGCATCATTATACTTTTAGTTCCACATTACTGGGAACTTCAGAGTTGCATAAGGACAGCGCCCCAGACGTGATAAGGGAACAGAGCTATCACTGCTTTGGGCTTTAACGTCTTAACTACTAAGACCTTTTCATGAATGATTAATGCTTGAGGAACAATAGATACACCAAACACTTAACCAGCAGGGAAAAGGATTTATTTGTTTTTTCTTCTCTTCAAACACACACTCAATTCAACATCCATTTTGTAAAAAGAGTTCCAGATCTCTTGAAACTAATTCTAAAGTTTGAAAAAGTATCCTTTCTTATCTTTTACTTCCTTATCTTTAAAAGGTGCCACCACAAGCAGGTGCTTTTTTTTCCTAACCAGCATGAAGGACATGGAGCAGACCCTGACACTGCCCTGGCATGACCTTCCCCAGAACTCCAGAGCCAGGCCACTCCCCTGAGAAGAGTGACCACTGGACTTCAAATGTGTGGCTTTTCTCTTTCCACAATGGACCATGACCAAGAAGTGGAGTTCACCATAGATGACCAGGCACCTAATCTTGCAGCTAACAACGTCTAGGATAGAGCACAAGAGACTGGGATCTGCAATTATAAGTCACACAGCAGAGCTAGAAGTATCTTTATAGAAACGTGAGGATAGCTCTAAATCTAAATAAATATGCTGATATTATTCCCATGTGAAAACAACAGTACTACTAATTTCTGAAGCTAGTATGATCTTGGCTCATGAGGTTCTTTCCTTTTAAATAGACTCTCTTCTATAGGTATCAGATAATCCAATGCCTTGGCACCACCACTTTATTATTTTTTTAAATATATTTTATTGATTTTTTACAGAGAGGAAGGGAGAGGGATAGAGAGTTAGAAACATCGATGAGAGAGAAACATCGACCAGCCGCCTCCTGCACACCTCCTACTGGGGATGTGCCCACAACCAAGGTACGTGCCCTTGACCAGAATCGAACCTGGGACCTTTCAGTCCTCAGGCAGACGCTCTATCCACTGAGCCAAACCGGTTTGGCACCACCACTTTATTAAGGCAAGTAGAACATCCAGCATATTGAGCCCCCAGTATGTGCTGGGCAGTCCTCTAAATTTATTGTTTTGCTTATACCTAACGGCCTTATGAGATACATATATATTATCCCAGGGTAGATGAGGAAGCAAGCGCAGAGCATGTAATTTGCCCATGGTCATAGGACTGGAAAAAAAAATCAAAGTATTCAAACAGGTGAGAAGCAACGAAGGCAACAATGTGCACTCTCAGGACCCAGGTACCCATAGCTGATGTCCTAACTGCAAAAGTAGAAAGTGTAGAGAGTAAAGTTATCCTGACAGTAACACTCCAGTTTCCACTCTTTTTTAAAAGTTACTTTTAGACCTACGTTTCATGCCCTTGTGATAATGGTAATGGTGGGAAATTTATACTCCGTTAAGTAGAACTGGCTGATGGAAATATCCTGTGTGTGTGTGGAAGAATAAAAAGCTGCAGTATGATGCCAGAGGTTTCCAGTCGGTGGCATCTATTTAAAGCAGTGGTTCTCAACCTTACTAATGCCACGACCCTTTAATACAGTTCCTCATGTTGTGGTGACCCCCAACCATAAAATTATTTATGTTGCTACTTCATAACTGTAATTTTGCTACTGTTATGAATTGTAATGTAAATATCTGATATGCAGGATGTATTTTCATTGTTACAGATTGAACATAATTAAAGCATAGTGATTAATCACAAAAACAATATGTAATTATATGTGTTTTCCGATGGTCTTATGCCACCCCTGTGAAAGGGTCGTTCGACCCCCAAAGGGGTCGCGACCCACAGGTTGAGAACCTCTGATTTAAATGAAACAGGTCTAAATCCTACTCTAGTATTTGATTCTTGTGTAAGCCAGTGCAAGTAACACTTCCTGAGGATAATGCAAATTACGTCTTTCAAAATGCTAGAATCAAGATAAGACAATTGTATATGGATGAGGGTTAATTCATGAGCCTTAGACGTGGAAATAAACAATATATATGAAGCACAGTTTCTCTACACTGGCTTCAAAATAATACTTTTTAAGTGCAAAGAAAAAATATCTCTATTTCAGTATTAGACTTGATCAGTATGATCCTGTTGACAGTATTTGACATTTCTAAACCA